CTCCACATCACCATGCAGCGACGCCTCGGACCGTCAACCGGCGTGGGGGGGCGGCGCGCACAGCCGGGCGCTTGCGTTTTGTGTAGCGCTCACAACTACGGCGGAGGCCCACGTGACTGGCCGGTGGGCGGAGGAGTGGAAGGGCACAGGAGTGGGTGTTGGCGGCGTGGGCGGCCGACAGCGGTTTGCGAGAGTGAGCACAACGGGCGTAACGTCGGAGCGTATGGCCGCGTAACGGGCAGCGAGCGTGGACAGAAATGCCTAAGTCCTTTATAGTTGCCCCAGACTGAGGTGCAACTTCAGCTGGAAAAAGTTGAGTTCAATCAGAGGGATCGGTCTTTCAAACAACAAAGTCGACGTGATTAGCGCGACCAAGACATGCGAAGAACAAGGTTCTGCACCTGATGGACAGGATTTGTGTTGTTGAGCGCTTCGCACTTATTCTAAGGCGGAGGTAAAAAGAAAGAACACCTCTGTCGAATCGATACGTCAGGAGAAGATAGCCTGCAACAGATTTTGGTGCCAAGGTCGGTTAAGAGGCTCGATTGCTTGAGTTGCAGCCCACCTTCTCATGGAATCCTTCCCATAAAAATATATCGCAAGGGGTACTTGCGTGGAGTCGGTTTCCGTCGTTAGGTTTATGGCGATAGTGATCAGTGTTGTCGTATGAGGAGATCTGGGAAGGAAAATCCCAGACCTGTGCGTGTTTAGCTGAGGACTACTGAAGTAGCCGGCTTGAAAACCGTATAGACCGTGTTTAGCTTTGTCAACATCTCATCCCATTCGCCTTGAGCCGTGCTTAGGATGGTGACAGCTCCACCCGCTCCAATTCGCCATTTTTGTTCGAGATCGTTGTCATTAGAAGAGCTGAATGCGGTGCGGATAAGGACTGAAAAGCTGCCACCTCCCCCAAGATCCAGAAATCCCATGACACCGGAATACACCCCGCGCCTACGAGACTCGATGGAGGAGAGATGCATGCAAGAACGTTCTTTCGGTGCACCAGTCATAGAACCTGGCGGAAGGCATCTCTGTAGAGCCGTAAGCCCGTATGCTGACATATCCGCCGACTGCAACTGTGGAAGGTCCCGTGCAGCGAACCCAGGCCGAGTTGGATCAACTTGGCCTTTGACATGTGTAATCATTGAAAAAACATGCCCGTAATCCTCGACCTCAAGAAGTTTCTCGACACATACGCCACCTGAGCCACAGATACCATAGAGATCATGCCGGATAAGGTCCGCAATCATGAGGTTTTCCGCGGTTTCCTTGGTCGAACTGAGAATCTCTTTGGCCATTTCAAGCGTCATATTGTCTGCTTTCCTCACGGTACCTTTCATAGGTTTCATCTCCAGAAGAGACTTCCGGTCCCAATTGAGAAAGCATTCAGGGCTGCTGCTTAGAACTTTGACTTTTCCTAATTTTGCATAAGCACTGAAAGACGCGGGGTTGTACTTTTGAAGGCGCTTGTACAACAGCCAAGGGAAGTTCATGCTACCATTGTCTGGTTCAGAGCAAGGCACTGTGATTACTGTTTCGCAGGTAAGGCACAGTTCGTATGATTCACCGGCGTGCAGTTCGGCGATACAGGCGTCAAACTGTTCTTTGTATTGTTGTCCATTCGGAAATTGTGCTGTGGATCGACTGAGTATGGAATCCAGAGCCACTGTGTCAGTTGTCATACTGTCGATAATGTCCACGACAGGATGAGATGACAAATCTTGCAGGAGTCGCACTGTTTCCTCGATCCACCCCGCCGGCTCATTGTCAGCTTCCCGTGTAGATTGTACAGTAACACGGCCAGACTCATGGTCGAGAATCACACTCCGTTCAGTCCATAGTAGACTCGCATCCACTGGATCTTCTGAATCCTCTACCGAGGAGTTGTGGCCATGTCCATTTGCGTGAGGAAGGCAAGCGAGCCCCATTTCATATGAGAAGTACCCGAGGAAACCAGCCCAAAACGGGACATCCCTACTGCCTGATTCGACCTTTTTCATGTCCATCAAGTATCGAAGGACATCCCAGAACTGGCTGGTTGACAAGGATGTATTAATCACAGACTGCCCTTCTAGGGCATTCTCGCAATCATGATTTTCCATGAAAAGCCTCTCAGTCTGCGTGAAGAATTCTAACCTCCAGCTGCCAGGACTAGGTACAGATATGATGCTGTGTCGGCCATTGGATTTAAACATCACTGTCGGGGAACCGGGACTGTTGAGGGTCTCACAGATCAAGGCCGAATCTAGCGGTTCAGTGTAGAAGTGTCGAAAAAAAGAGTATCTTGAAGTAGATGTGCACCAGGTCAACATGGTATGCACGATGTTCGGTAAGGAAGCTATGTCGTCCGATTCGTGGAGGCAGTCGCGTATCATTTTCAGGGGAGTGCCCCGTCCACTGGTTTTGTTGTAGTGGAGAGACATCTTCCACCATTTCCCCAGTATCTGTCTGCATGCTTCCTTGTCCGACTTGCAAGATTCTGGATGAAATTGAACACCCCAGAAGGGTCTGCTCTTATGGCGCACAGCCATTGGAAGTTGTATCGGCTGAACCAAGCCAGTGGAGACCTGTTCCTCTAAGGGCAGCCATGCCAGAATATCAAGCTCTTGTGCTGCAGACTTGTCTGATCGTGCCTCTTCGTGGTCATTCTGTAATTTCTCAAGCTGGGCATATAGGGAGTGGTATAGAGTGACCTCCAGATTGGGTACGCGATCGAATATGTCTTTACCGGTGGTTTGAACGCGGCGAACCTGGCCATGGAGCGGATACGGTAGCCGGTGAATAGGAATACCGTGACGAAGGCATAAACTCTGAAAACCGAGACATATGCCGAGAACTGGAAGCATGTCTGCAGTGCTCAGGTTCCAGATATCCTCCATAATTCCCACATCGTCCGGTATATGTGGATCACCAGGGCCCGGCCCAAGAACAACGGCTTCGAAGTGTTTGAGAAACTCGGCAGCATTCCCATCCGGCCATGTTGAGTCAATATGCATGATTGTAACTCGGACATCCAGCACCTCCTCGAGCATGGCGACAACATTGTAGGAGAAAGAGTCGTACGCGTCGATATAGAGAATGTTCTTTGGAGATGTCATCTCGTGGCCATTTCGTCGGGAGGGTGGGCGCGTATCATGGCCCAGTAACGGAGCCATGTCTCGGTAGAAGACGGAAGGAAGAGAGTATGTCGTGGTGCCGTGCTTTGCCGTGCTAGTGGGTAGCAGAGGAAGGGTATGACAAGGACTGAGATAGAGTTGGATGCATAAGGAATAATTCGACTCAAGATCGCGACGACGCCTCCAGGTGTTCGGTGTCGGTGTTGATGTTGCTCGCTGGCGTCTTCCTCCTGGCTGTCGATGTCTCTTATAAACCGGTGGACCCCGGCTTCAGAAAGATGCTGCGGAGAGGCGCGCTCCTCATTTTGGAGTCGAAGGGAACGAGGTGCAGACTCTTGAGGCGAAGCGGGCGGCGCAATCCGGGACCGGGCCGGGACAGCAGATAATCCGACTCGTATCCGCCACCAAGAGGGCCAAGGTGGGCCAAGTAGTGTGTGATAGCCGGTCGAATCTGTTGCATTTGGCGCTACTTGACTAAAATATCTAACACGAGGAGAGAAAGGCGGGAGGGTAGGGAGAATGTGGGAGAACACCACGGATACAGTGTGTCCGCCACCCTTACCTGAAACCGCACTAAACTATGTTTGGATATCAGGCAGGAGAATCTTTAATCCGCAGTTGTATGGTAAATTATTATCTATACCGTGACGAAATACTGTATTAATGACTAAGCTCCACGTGCCTCTAACCCATAATCCACGTGCCAAACACATCTTACCAACACCGTACTAACGTTAACTTGGTTACTGCTTGCAATTCAAGCAACTCAATGGCTCCCAATCTAGCTCAATCGACGCTTGACCTCATCCACGATATGCTGGTCAGCGGTGAATTAACCACATCACAAATGGCTAAAACCGCTAATTGCAGTAAACGCGCAATATTCCGACTCTGCTCTAATCTTCGATTGTTTGGCACTCTCAAAGCCCCTCCGATAAAAGGCGGACGCCCGCGGAAGTTAACTCCACCAATGCTAGAAGCCCTTTGCGATCATCTAATAGAAAAGCCAGGTCTGTACCTGCACAAAATAGAACTCTTTCTGCTAGACGAATTTGACATACGTGTGCCGAAGTCTACTATCAGTGATACTCTCCGCCAGTCCGGTTGGTCTAGAAAGGAATGTCGGCAGCAAGCGAGAGAACGAAATACCGATTTACGTAATGATTATATACATCTGATTTCGGAATTCCAGTCGTTCCACTTGGTTTATGTGGACGAGTCTGGATGTGACAAAAGAATAGGCTTTCGAAGAAGCGGGTAGTCTCCGAGTGGTACAACACCGGTTCAGGTGTCAAGATTTCATCGGGATCAGTGCTACCAAATACTCCCTGCTTACGCACAGGACGGTGCTATACTTACTAGAGTTCTTCGAGGCTCAACTAATGCATCATTCTTTGAGGATTTTATCGAAGAACTACTTCAGCATTACAGGAAGTGGCCCGAGCCCAAATCTGTACTTCCAATGGATAATGCATCCTTTCACTATTCTGATAAGATAGAGCAGATGTGCTGCGAAAAGAGTGTCAAGTTAGTATATTTGCCGCCCTATTCACCGGACCTAAACCCCATAGAGGAGTTCTTTGCTGAGCTTAAGGCTTTTATTCGGCGGAATTAGCAGGCGTACAAGGATGATACAGAGCAGGGGTTCACAGCATTCTTGGAGTGGTGCGTTGATAAGGTGGGAGCAAAGCAGCAAAGTGCAGAGGGTCATTTTCGGCATGCAGGGCTGACTATTGAGTATCCACATGAGACGTTCCAAGGTGCAGTAGGCTACTTGGCGAGAGATTCGTACAGCATTGTTGACTAGGCGTCTTACAGGTATGGCTATTGTAGTATATTAGATACTTAGCCGGCTACACGAGTCATAACAAAAAGTATATTTTACATGTTACAGTACAGCTTTGCCATCACAATTGCATCTCCTGCACCCAGTCATTGATTTCAGTGACAAACCGGCGTGCAGCCCCGAGTTTCACGCCTTGGTTGATGAAAAAGCCAGGGTCTTGATCTTGGTAAATCTGCTTCAAATCAAGGCAATTGTTCAAGGCTATATCACGTGCCTTAATAATATTGTCCTTGAAGCTTTCAGTATTCACTCGCGAGAGTTGCCATGCAGCGTAGTTCTCTACTGCTACTTCCAACGGACCGGGGACATTGATAGAACTACTAGGCGGTGAGGAACTGAGTGCCGGTGGTTCCGCAGCAGCAGGTGGGGATATAGTCATCGACCGAGGCGGTGGCGTGGGGAGGACATTGATATTGATTGGAAATGGGGATCCACTTGCAGGATGCCCAGGGACCTTCTGTCGTTGTTCCAGCCGCTGCTGCTCCTCGGCATATAACTGCCCACGGATGTTGTCGGGCACATCATCGTGGGATTCAATGACACCCCCCTCCTGCTCCACATACCTAACCAGCTTCCTCAAATGGTGTGTGCGCAATCTATAATGCTTTTTCCCGACAGGGTCCTGCCAGCAATATTGCGATTCGAGGCGGCACGGAGAGCCAGGACAGCGCATTACTCTGTACACGTCCCGCCAGGCCGAGGGCTGCCCCGAAACCTGTTCCGCGTCAATCTCAGCGTCTCGTGCATGGAGCATTCTTCTGGTCACTGAGGTTTGTCCTCTTTTGTCAGCGCCATTCGAAGGCTGCTCGGAATCTAGATAATTAATCGAGATACAGAGCCTAAGCCTTTTGCCTTGCTGAAATAGATTTTCCCATATCGTGAGCTGCTTTTGGATAGCTGTCCAGTCAACATCAGTTTTCTCAAAGCGCTTGACGAGATCGCGCTGTGAGCGATCATTTACAGAGACCACTACTGTAGTGTCGTCTAGTCTCACCCGTCGGTTACGAGCTATCTTCCGACGTAGTAGATCTTCCGCTTTCTGCTTTATTCCTGACCAGTAGGAGTGGGGATCCAAACCCAGATCTTGTTCCGTGTCCTTCGCTACCACGCGATTGTTGAGAGTTACTCTCCATTCAATCGAATATCGGACCATTAAATATTGTTCGCCGCCATCTATTCCTGCAATATCCCACTCCGTGTCTCGAATGTAGTCTTGAAGCGGCGAATGACGCAAGGGGGTGGAGCTTCGACGTCCACGACTAGGGGACGGGCTGTATCCAGATGGCGTGCCATCGCGGCTAAAGATTCCAGGAGTGGGAGCGTACGAAGGGGTGCCTTCGCCTGGAGCAAGGTAACGCGCCGGAGAGGCAGTTTCACTTATTGGGCTAAGTGCCACGTCATCAAGGCAACATATCCCGCCGAAGAGCCTATTGTTGGAAACGATAAGATGTTAGCTGGGGAAGAGCGGTCCTTTGCATGATCTATTTGGAGGACCAAGGGCGTTTGCTGACAGGCTGAATATGATAACAAGCAGAGCAATATGCGCTGCACTACTCATGCTGTTCGTGTGGCAATGGTCCATGTGGTGTATGGTAGGAACATGGAGGGCGAGGAGGGGCGTCTTTGGCGTGCCATGGATACGTTTTTGTTTGTTCAGTTTGCATATAAGCCAGTCACGGTGCCCGCCCGGGCCGGGGCGGTTCCAGATCCTTCTAAGCCACGTGATGAAGCATTAGGTGACGTTGTATCACGTGACTCTAGGCTATCAGTAGCTTCGGAGTCCTCTCTTCGAGGCCACGCTCTTCGGCTAATCCTATCACCCGTGGCCGTAGACAGAGTGTGAAGAAATGTGTAGAGACTGAGGGCCTTCCGCAGCAATTCCCTGCCGGGCATAGTTCCTAAATGATGCTTTTTCTCTACTATTGTCACGCTGCCGAAAGAGCCAAGAACCGAGATGCCGATCGGCGCAATGGCGGACATATCGGAAATCCCTATCTTCCAATCACATAGTAGATATGGCTGTGGCTGGCTAAACGTAAGCCAGCACATCCTTGTCCTTCAACCGTGCCAGCTCATCATTAAATATACCTCATATTAATGAATCACTTACCTATCGCTTGTCCTGTGCTACGTACAAGATACTGTGATATTTCTAGAAAATTAGAGGGCGAGCTCTCTTGCTAGATCAAATATGCCCGATCCTTCCAGAACGTATTTTACGAACCGTTTCGTGGATATGAAGAGACGGAAAGGTGAAAATTCGAAACTAAGCAAAGGACAAAGGAGATGGCTTAACCTGTACTACAAAACGGAGTCTCCTGATAGACATCGAGTCGGACTATCAATATCCGCATCTGTATATCCAGAAATCAAATGATAGCATAACTCGATCTCATATGCTACATTGGACTAAGCGACATGCTTAGTTTTCCACAATATATAGTCTTTACCGCTTGATCATTCAGGTCAGCGGAGCCGTTTTTTCCGCCGCCGGCCGAAGGTGGGGGTAGAGCTGATCTCTTCGGAGTTATATGCACGGCTCGGTCTGATTTGAGAACCAGTCCCACTTATTCTTGTGTCTAGTTATAGGCCACCCCGCTTTTACCTTCATTTTCTGGCATGTCTGCAACGTCCTGTGGAACACATTGTGAAATCTGCACAAGCTTCGTTGATGAATCTGGTTGACATCATTTAGGGCTAATACGCATTTATTATACATACGTGGGAGATGATGTCCTCAACACACGAACAAGTCTCAAATATGTCTGTTCCCTCTTTCACTTATTCACCACTTCCACCGAAGTCATATACACGAATGATTCGCCTTTTGCCAGACGAGGATGAGAGCGCCCTAATCAAATGTGAACTTCTCAACTACAACCTCTCACAACCAGGAGAGGAACATCTTTATGAGGCGCTTTCCTATGTTTGGGGAAGTCCAGTCAGATCTCGTTCAATCATTCTTGATGGCTATATGCTCCCTGTTACTGAAAGTCTTTATACTGCATTATTGCATCTCCGAAGCAAGCAACTGGAAAGGATACTATGGATTGATGCGATGAGCATAAACCAGAATGATGACAGTGAGAAGAGTAAGCAGATCCCGCTTATGCGGATGATTTATGCACAAGCCAGACGTGTTGTTGTCTGGCTGGGGGAGGCCCATGACTACGGGGAAAGAGCACTTGAAACAACAATTGCTTGTCTTGGCAGGAAAAAGGTTTCAGAGCCAGTACAAGGAAGAGTCCGTGTAGAATGTGAGAAGTTGCTACAACGAGACTGGTTTCGCCGTACAGGGATATTCGAAATCGGCCTCCGTCCCACACACTTATTATTTGCTTTGTTGCCCCACTTCTACAAATCTAGCGCCTTGGCAGTTTCATGGATGTTTCGTATGTTACAAGGCAGGTCGAACCTCATTTCGCCCCGGCAAAACAACTTTATTTCCACGCCCGGGTGCTAAGGCGCCAATTCCAAAGACTAGTTACTCACATATAAACCCAGTAATATCATACAGTATATTTAGTTCTGTATCACGATTGTATGTGTATTATACTAGACCTGTCACCTGTACTGATAGATATACGTCGCCAACTGGGTTGCGGACCGTCCGATTAAACAAAGTTGTCAGCAACGAGAGCTTGCTTGCTTGCTTCCTGCATTTCTCCTCTGCCATATCTTGTGGGTTGAATTTGAAGGAGAAGTAGAGGCTCGGGACCTATCGCTGGCGAGGTCTGTCAGGCAAAAATGATGATATCGTACTGTGCTATTGCTCGCTTCACACACCTCACCTCGCTTATCATGATGGACCGCCTTGTATTCTCTAGCTAACTTAAAGATCGGAATATTAGTTAATCCATTGTCAGCCTCACCGATTTCAGCACGTTGACTCTGTCACTGTGCCCCTGAGTAGAGTATCTCTACACACTCTACAGCTTTTCGGTATACCTTCCATTCCTTAGACCCTTAATTACTTCCTATAATAAGCGCAATAGCTTGTCCTTCGGATCGTCAAACTCTTAGTGGCCAAAATCAAGCGAGTATGTCCATCCGTCGAGCAATATAGCAGCGCTCCTGGATCATTGTCAAACGTGCATCAGGACAAGATGAACGGGGATATGTTATCTCTATACACGCATACTGAGCCAAGTTTATCTCATCAATCGAAGCGACAAAAGACGTCTCACCCAATATTTCTCAATTCACGACATGATCAGTACACGGTCGGTTGGATATGCGCGCTGCACATAGAAATGGCAGCCGCTCGGGCTATGCTAGATGAAGTCCACGAACTACTACCGAAGCATACAGACGACACCAATACCTATGTACTTGGAAGCATCCAGCTGCACAATGTCGTTATCGCGTGTTTGCCAGACGGACAATACGGAACAAATAATGCAGCAATAGTCGCGACGAACATGTTACGAACGTTCAAATCAATCAGCACCTGTTTGATGGTAGGAATCGGTGGTGGGGTGCCAAGCAGAGCTGATGTGCGTCTGGGTGATGTCATAGTTGGAACAAGAGTTATGCAGAGTGATCTTGGAAAAGTTGTCGGAGACGGAGAGCTACTACAAACGGCAATACCTAGGATTCCTCATCAGTCGCTCGGGACGGTTGTGTCCGCCCTACGTTCGAAACACGAGCTGAGTCGCAGTCGAGTCTCGACAATCCTACAGCAGCATCTAGGTGGCCAACCACGATATAGTCGTCCAAACGTGCCGGACCGCCTCTTCCATGCAACATATGACCACGAATCTATAACCCCTGGCTGCGACAAATGCGATCAGTCAAAGGTTGTTCCACGAAACAGCCGAACGTCGGACGAGATAATAATCCACTACGGCGCTATTGCTTCAGGAAACCAAGTCATGAGAAGTGGCACTACTCGGGACAAGGTCGCTCAACGACTAGATGTCGTATGCTTTGAAATGGAGACTGCTGGACTCCTTGATATTCTTCCCTGTCTCCCAATCCGGGGAATCTGTGACTACTCAGACTCTCACAAAAATAAAGAATGGCAAAGGTACGCCGCAGCAACTGCGGCAGCATATGCCCGGGAACTTCTTGAGGAGATGCCTGTGACTGAAGCATGTACAGGGCATATGTATGTGCATGATCTGTGTAAGTTCTTTCCAGAGCTTAATGAAATTTGGCTTGTTCTGCTGACTCCGGAAAGTAGACAATAGTTCACCCGAAGACCGCCGGCGACATTTGTTAAATTCCCTCAGGTTCGAGCAGATTGATTCTCGTAAAATGAACATCAAAGCTGCCCACTCTAAGACGTGTCAATGGTTTCTCGGTCATTCTAGCTATAAAGAATGGCTTGACCCTGCTGCATTGACGCGACATCACGGATTCCTGTGGATTAGCGGTAAGCCGGGTGCGGGCAAGTCAACAATCATGAAATTTGCATACGAGCGCTTGAGGAGGAAGGCCCAAATAAAGCATACTATCACAGCTTCCTTTTTCTTCAATGCGAGAGGGGAGTCCTTGGAAAAGTCGATCATCGGAATGTATCGATCATTGATACTTCAACTACTGGAAGGATACTCAGATCTTCAGACAGTCTTGGACGATCCTGAGCTTGTGTCCCAAAGCTCTAATAGCTGTCCTCCTTTAAATTGTCTTAAAGACATTTTTCTTAACTCAGTTTCCGCGCTCGGCCAACGTGAATTCACGTGCTTCGTTGACGCTCTTGATGAATGCGATGAACAACAGGTTGTTGATATGATCCAGTTCTTCGAAGACCTGACAGAGCAATCTTCGGCTAAAGGTGTCTTATTCCGAATATGCTTCTCTAGCCGACATTATCCCTATATCATCATTCGACAAGGAATCCGACTCACACTAGAAGACCAGCCCGGTCATGCACAAGACTTGCAGACATACGCTGCTAACCGTCTTCGTATTGACGACCCTTCACTTGCCGAAGAGCTACAAGTGCAACTTTTGAGTAAAGCTGCCGGTGTTTTTATGTGGGTTGTCTTAGTTGTCGACATCCTTAATAAGGAGTATCGACGCGGTGGGATGTTTTTAACAAAGAGACTCGCTGAAATCCCGAGTGATCTAAGTGATTTGTTCAAGGACATCTTGAGACGTGACAATGAAGATATGGAAGCTCTCCTGTTTTGTATTCTCTGGATTCTCTACGCAAAACGCCCACTCCAACCGAAAGAGTTCTATCATGCTGTCTGGTCTGGTTTATCACTTAACAGTCTTGTTGATGACCGAATTCCAGATGTCACCATTCCAAATGCTACAGACGGCCTGGACCAGTTTGACAGATATATCATCCACTCCTCAAAGGGACTGGCTGAAGTTACAAAATCCAAGGAGCCGACCGTGCAGTTTATCCATGAATCTGTCCGAGACTTCCTCATCAAGGACAATGGGCTGTTTGAATTATGGCCTGAGCTTGGGCTAGACTGTGAGCGACTAGGCCACGAGAAGCTCAAACAGTGCTGCTCCCGCTACCTGAATGATACTTTGGTATGTACATCTATTAGTGAGCTGCTATCCATGCCAAACGCAAATGAGTCAATGGAAATGTCAAAAAGATTTCCTCTGGTGCAGTATGCTAATAAATATATCCTATACCATGCCAACATTGCCGTGGAGTCTATTCCTCAGAACGAGTTTCTATCTTCTTTTCCTCTCTCCACCTGGATCATGGTCCACAATGCCTCCGAGGATTTCAAGACCCGCAGATATACTCAAGGGGCAAGCCTGATGTATGTTCTCGCCGATAACGGATATTCTGGGCTCATCCGTATAAGACTCAAGGATGAGCCACAAAGTTATGTGCCTCAGGAGAGATATAAGTACCCTCTTTTTGCTGCTTTAGCAAACTGTAGGAAAGACGCTGTTGCTGCTCTTTTGGACTTACCCACGTATATGTACGAGGGAGTGGATATTACTCAGGGACTGAAGAGCAGGAAAGACTTTAAAAGATATGGAGATCAAACACCGCTATCTTGGGCTGCTCAAGAAGGGCGCAACGTGATTCTTAAACAACTCATTCAGAACGGGGCGTACATTAACGAGCAAGATAGAGGGGGGTTAACACCGCTTTCACGAGCTGTAAAGAATGGCCATGAGGCAGTCGCAAAGCTGCTTGTTGAGAAGGGAGCAGAAGTTAATACCAGTGACAATAACGGCTACACACCACTGCTATGGGCGTCACAGAATGGCCATGAGGCAGTGGCAAGGCTGCTTGTTGAGAAGGGAGCAGAAGTCAATACCAGTGACAATAACAGCTACACACCACTGCTATGGGCGTCACAGAATGGCCATGAGGCAGTGGCAAGGCTGCTTGTTGAGAAGGGAGCAGAGGTTGATACCAGCGACAAAAGGAAGTACACACCACTGATATGGGCTTCACAGAATGGTCATGAAGCGGTGGCAAGGCTGCTTCTTGAAAAGGGAGCGGATGTTAATGCCTATGACTCTTTCAAATATACACCACTGCTACGGGCCTCACAGAATGGCCATGAGACAGTGGTAAAGCTGCTTGTCAAAAACGGAGCAGATATCAATACTACTACCGACTACGGCTATACACCACTGATATGCGCTTCACGGAAAGGCGATGAGACAGTGGTAAAGCTGCTTGTTGAAAAGGGAGCAGAGGTCAATGTTAATGACTCTCTTGGATACACACCGCTGATATTGGCCTTACAGAATGGCCATGAGGCAGTAGCAAGGCTGCTTGTTGAGAAGGGAGCGGAGGTCAATACTAATGATTCACTAGGATACACACCACTGATATGGGCTTTGCACAGTGGTAATGAGGCAGTAGCAAGGCTGCTTGTCGAACAGGGAGCGGATTTTAACATCAGTGACAATAACGGCTACACACCACTGTTATGGGCGTCACAGAAGGGCTATGAGGCATTGGCAAGGCTGCTTGTTGAGAAGGGAGCAGAGGCCAATGCCAGTGACACGCATTGACAAAGCATCTTCTATATAATAATAAGCTCATATTCATACCAACAAGCAACATAGCTGAATGCCGCCTTCGTATGTCTCAACGTATACTTGTCAGACAGTTAGGAGTGCTCCATGGACACGATGGCAGAGACCAGTGCTCGCAACGCTACGTAACATACCTATACTGTTAGTTTGGTTCAGGGGCGCTAGCAATGTCCTAACAGGGAACATACGGCGCATTTGTCCTTGACTTATTACTTAAATAATTGTGCAGCCATGATGCACACCTAGATATCGGCCTAAAACCTCAAACAGGCTGTTATATTGTTAAAGTGTTCCGATCAATTGTTTGCTCCGAGCATCTTTGAATCGGTCTACTTTCTCTTGGCATGCATGACGGGAAACCGTTTGAAGTACATGAAATGTGGGCATTGGTTTCGAACTGAAGTGTAACCAAGGTACCGAAAATATTGTCCTTTTCATTCCGCGTTCCTCAAATTCTTTTATTAGGATACTGGTATGGCGAACGAGAGCTTAAATAGAATCTGGTTAGTTTGTAGAACTAGATATCTCTTAGGATTCCGCTCCTATGCTTTTGTTGGACTTTCTGTTTTCTCCATCCTACATAGGAAAAAGTTCCCTTTATGCCAGCAAGGAACACTACCATCTCATCCAAATACAGACCAGTTTCTTCGCGGAGTTATGCTGCATGGTCGACCTCCACAATTAACCAGCGAGTTCTCTCAGCTGATTAGATATAAGTGAACTTCGAGTACATTTACTATATTCGGCAGCGTCAGCGATCTGGGTAGAGGTAAAACCAATTTTGGGAATCATATCGAGTATAAGCATATGCTGCCAGCGTTTAAGGTAGAGGTGTCCCATGGAACACACTATAGTTGTCAGTTGGGTTCGGTCCAAAAGTTGAGGGACGAGAGATGGGGATGTCTTTTATTACAATACTATATATCGTGAGTCCGGTACGATTGTACAGTGACATCAGTAAGATCACGCTCATCAATTAACAAGTTCGGATCCGTGCATAAATTGGCGCTTTGGTATTAGGACTTGGAATTGAAGTTGCCTTGTTGGGGCGGAATGAGGGTTCGATCTACCTTGTAACATACAGAACACCACTTTAACTGCCAAGGCGCTAAAGATTGAAGAACTAGCGATCTGTAACAGAGGAATGGAACTTATAGAGTAGGAACGGTATTGAATCGAATGGTTTGAATTAGAGTTATATGTAGCTAGAAACACGCAGTGGAACGAGAGGGGATGGATAAGTAGAGGGGGTGGCTCAGGTGGTAACGAGGAAGGCGCTCCTGCCGCCTGGGCCGGAGCAAAGTAGGTCCGAAGACCTACTAAACACCTCAACATCCTCAACAAGGTCCATAAGTGGGGCTACCAAGCAATTAATGAGTGCGTAGGCCGGAAGCCGATTTCGAATGTTGCTGTATCTGGGTAAGGTAACAGTTTATCGTTCAATATAGAAAAACGCTAACGATGTGGGTTAGGTATTACAAGAAGTCGGTGTCGCGCAGTATATTTCTATCATGTGTGGACCCGTTCAGATCAATGGACAAATTTTCTGTGAGGGCCTGGATAACTTGAAGCCTTCTTCCGCACTCATGGCTAGAATAAGCCCGGGTTTCTTTTCTAATTAAAGGTGCACCTTTTCGGTCACGTGATGGGCATCTTTCCGTTCCTACACTTTCGATTGGGGAGCTTGTCAGCATGTACCGCAACCATAATGCAACAAAACAGCATGACAAGGTCTATGCATTACTGGGCTTAAGTTCAGACTCGAATAGTGCTGCGTTGGTCCCAGACTATGGGCTTCCTTGGCATGAGGTCTTCAGACAAGTCACAGAACATGTTTTCCCGAAATGTTCCGTGGGGTTATGTTATGGGTCAGAAACAGCTATTATCAAAAATAAAGGATGGATTTTGGGTTACATCCATTCTATCAGTGACTCTTTGAAGAACAGTCAACAGACTTTCAAAGTTGTCCTCAATCAAACTTGTCAGAAGCTGGGATATCATGATAAGTGGGAGGCTGAATGGAGTGTACAGGCTCATTGTGGTGACGGTTCCTTGGCATGGCAAACTTACTCGACAGTTTGATAAAACAGATGTTGACTGGCCTGATATCGAGAGACAGCTTCTCGAATGGGGCCATCACTTCCTTGCCGGCAAAAAATTGAACCTCTTAATATCATTCAATTATGTAGATGACAACCAGGACTCTACAGCCGGTCGCAGAGCGACTAACAAACGAGGTGCATCTTCTGCCAGCCAGACTATGCTCCAGGATCTTGATCGTGAGGTTAACACGGAGGAGGAACTAACCGGAGAGCCTACGGCCTGGAGGCATGTCTACATGGTAATGCGCTGCCCCGGGTCGTGTGAGTTAGAGCCGCACTGTTGGCAGGATCCATACGGGAAGAGACATTATAAACTGTATAGAGATGAGCTTTTGAGCCTGGTCCGGTACGTGAAGAGTGGGAAGAGATTAGAGTCATTAGAGTCCCATGAAGACGTGCCTAGCAGAGCAAATCTATAGGGTCGAGAGGCGGCTCCTTGAAGGGGCAAAGAGTCGTAGTCGCCTTCCATCAGAGTCGGCCTACCCGCCGATTACCATCACAAATGTGCTTCCTGCACAGGCCACGCAGCCGGGTATGTCATCGTCGCCACCCACCCCGGAAGACGCGTCCATCTGTTCCACCAAGGCTTCGCGGCTTAAAATAGCAGGATTTCGTGACGCCAATGTCCAGGCCTACTGTGACTGTTGCCAGTCACAGGTTGCGAATGAGTTGTGGAAGGACGAATTTCACAAAGCATGTGACGTGGCTCTGGGTGATGGGTTAGACTTGGACCAGATCGATGAGTTAAGCGATCCCGAATACTTCAAGAATCGGGGAGTCAGATGGGGGATTCCTCGTCGGTTCGTGAGGGATATCAGAGACTGGGTAGACAGATTATATTGTTATGTGAATGGTGGGGAGTCAGATTGATGAAATAGACAACCGCGTTGCCTTTAGTCGTTCTTCATAGTCTATCTTCCTATATGTGTGCTACAGCCGAGGAATGTTATATATATTCGTCTATCAATACACCTGCATGCCGAAAATGGCCTTCAGCACTCTGCACCCTTGAACCAACAACTCCAACACACCACTAAAGAAAAGCGTCGAATCCTTGATCTGGATTATTTTCGTACTCATACCACCTCCGCTTGATGAATTGTTTGAGTTCAGCGAAGAACTCTTCAATAGGGTTAAGATCAGGGGAGTAGGGTGATATATATAGCAGCTTAACTCCTGCATTCAGGCACATCTGTTTAACTCGCTCTGTACGGTGGAAGGATGCATTATCCATGATAATTACAGACCTCGGCTCTGGCCATCTGTTGCAGTGGCGGAGAAGCTGCTCGATGAAATCCTCAAATATACTGGCATCAGTTGAGCCTTGAAAGACTCAAGATAAGAGACCACCCTTCTGGGTGTAGGCAGGCAACATCTGATAACGTCGATCACGGTGGAATTTGTAGATCTGAATTGGTGTCACTCCAAGAGGAGACCAGCCAGTTCGCCGAAATCCTATCTACTTATCACAGCCCGACTCATCTACGTATACCAGCTGGTATGACGAATAAGGGGATAGACTATGAAGGTAAAAGTCTCGTAAATCTGCGTTTTGTTCCCTTGCTCTTTGCCGTGCTGCCTTGTTTGACCATCTAATAGAAGCAAGTGTCCTGCTTAGACTCTGTTTGGTTACACGCTTTCCAAAATAATTATATATAATCACCACTAATTCACCCAAGTAACGAGAGTTGGTCTTTCCTTCAAGCGTTCCAACACGGCTTCAAGCATCAGTGGGGTGATACTTCGAGGGCGTCCGACGCCGTTCCGGGGGGCTCTGACATTGCCAAACGCCTCCAGGTTCTGACGGATATATGTTACAGCTTGCTTGCTATAACCAGCGGCAAAGGCGATTTCAGCTCTCGTCGACGACCCGTGCTCAATCATATGCTGAATATGTTCGAGTTGCGGAGCTCTCAAATTTGCCGGCATCTTCGATGCATGTGCGACGTAGTTACAACCTGCTACGTGGTGTTTGCGGAACGAAACCCGCGATTGTCAGCACGGCCTGATAATGACTCCGGTGCCCGACCAGCTGCTGAACCCCGATCGTGGCTCGCCCTGTTTGGACGATGGTGTCGGTAGCATTGCCTTTCAACCCCACCCCTCCTCGTACTTCTCCCTTCCAAGCCTAATCCTTGTGAGGACAAGGGCACTGGTAGTCACCCAATTTGGTAAACCACCTCTGGTGGAAGTTTGAACCACCTTCTCTCGCTGAGTCAATTAAGCTCTGAAGCCGCACCAACCGTTGGGTGTAAAATATTCGGTTTTAAGTAAGTTCCGCCGTCAAGTGTTATCGGGTTCCGAAAAAGCCACGGCCCTCTAATCTCAGCTAGAAAAAAAGCAAACAAGCATGGCGCGTCAAAACAGGCCTCTCTGCAGCCAATGGTTGGCTGAAGACCGCTCCCCTGCCTGCCCCTCCGATATCTTCCTAGAAATAGCCAGACTGCCCCCGATCCTTTTCCTTATTGCTTTCAGACTCATTTCCAGTCTTCACTTCGCATCCCTGCGACCAAATCGCTTTGCAAAGCAATATCACCGGCTCAGCTATGGATACTCCTAGTGCTCCTATTCAAGATAAGACGCACGGCTTGTTCGGATGCTTGAAGACTTTTCTGAAAGGGCAGAAAAGAGACAAACATACACGTCTCACTGCCCTGAAACCAAGCACACTAAACGTCACCGCAAATCCAGATGCGAAGGGTGGCCCTGCCAATTCCAAATATGACATATCCCAAACCAACGACCACGACGCGAAGGGATTTTGGCAGATGGCGTACGACGAGTTAACAGAGAGCGACCCGAACAGTATAGCAGTACTTTCCGGAACAAAGTCTCAGGATGTTGGTAATGCACGAACGAGAGAGATGTTGGATGAGGTAGTTAAGGCAACAAAGGCGCAGTACCAGGAAAAAGAGGGAAAGGATGGCATTCGGGCCACAGCCGATAAAATATTAAACTCAGTGCTGTCCTTCCAAGATGTGGTCGATAACATTGCAAAATTCGATCCGACTGGATACGCTTCCAGTGCTTGGGCGATAGTATCCCTAGGATTAAAAGTACGGTCCTTGCACTAGCCAAGCCAGACAATCAGCTAATGACTTAGATGGCCAAGTCTCATGCAGACCTCCGGGGGGCTCTATTTGAGTCGTCGGGATACCTGGCGGATTTGTTGGCTCGTTGCGCCTTCATTGAAGAACAGTTTTATGGTGATAGACATTCTAACATAGTGAATGTTGAAAAAGAACGATCGATTGTCCGGGTGTATGTGGCAATCTTGCGATACTCCGCCGAGGTACGGAGAGCACAACAGTCCAACAAGGTAAAAGGCATCGTGGAAAGCATAACAATTATCACCAGCCAGCCACTCACAGAGCTCAAGACCGCGATTAAGGAAGAGGAGTCCCACTTGTATCAGTGGTTGATCCTGGACCAGCACCTGCACCGAAAGGAGGAAGCAGAGGATATTCTGAATCACCTCGATACATTGCACGATGCAGTTGAAATGTTAAATCTCCCTTTTGCCAAGGGCGCATTTTTTGGCTCCTTCGAGGACCAGCATGAGGATGAATGCCTTGCCGGAACGCGAACAGGGTTGCTTCAGCAGGTGAAGGACTGGAGTAGGTCCAGTGACAGATGTATATTCTGGTTGAGCGGAATGGCAGGTACCGGCAAGTCTACTATTGCGAGGACGGTAGCCCGATTGTTCAGAGAGAATGGCATCCTCGGGGCAAGTTTCTTTTTCAAAAGGGGCGAGGGAGATCGGGGCTCGGCCGTAAAGTTCTTTCCAACAATTGTGAAGCAATTAGCAGTCCACATTCCTCAAATGGTCCCCGGAATCCGAAAAGCTCTTGAAGATGATCCCACGGTTCCAGGAAGCTCGCTTCGAGAGCAGTTCAATAAGCTCATGTTACAGCCATTACTAGCTGTCGGTCATGGTGAAACCATGGGTTCCACCGTGATTGTCATCGACGCTTTAGATGAATGCGAACCAGAGAAAGACGTGGAGATTATTCTCGACCTTTTACCCGAGGTTGAGATGGCAACAAATATGGCAATCCGATTCTTCTTAACCAGCCGACCGGAAATAACGATCCGTTTTGGGTTTGATCAGATCGATAAGAGCAAGTACCAGAATACCGTCCTGCAAAATTTGAATGAAAATGTGATAAAACATGACATCGCTGTATATCTCAGAGAAGAATTCTCGAAAATACAGCAGAAGCGCCGGCATACTCTTCCCCCCGGCTGGCCTGGAGAGGAAAGGATCGAAGCCTTAGCAATGATGGCTTGTCCGCTCTTTATCTTTGCAGCCACGGTGTGTCGTTTCGTGGCGGATAGGCATTTTGACCCGGATAAGCGGCTTCGGGAGTTTTCTACTGGTTCTACAGGATCAAAGATGGATGGCACATACCGACCGGTTCTGAACCAACTCCTCGTCCAGGATGCTGCGGACAGGAATGAGCTGATTAAAGAGTTTCAGAGGATCATTGGTGTAATCATTCTTCTTGCTAATCCGCTCTCATTGAGCTCTCTTGCGGAGCTGCTGCTTGGAACATCGCAACACAATAGTAGCATTGATCTGGAACGCCATATCAACATCCATCTGGAGTCATTCCATTCAGTCCTGTCTATACCTAGCGATCCAAAACTACCTATACGGACCCTGCATTTGTCCTTCCATGATTATCTGGTGGATGCTCGTACAAAAGACCAAGTGGCCACGTCTCAATTCTGGGTGGATAAAAAGGCAAAGCACGAGCTCATAGCCTGCCAGTGTCTTGCTGTCATGGGCCGTTACCTCAAAAAAAATATCTGTGATCTGCCAAGCTATGGGACCAGCCGAACAGAAATACACCCGGATTCTATAGCAAGATGTCTTCCAGCCGCCCTTCAATACACCTGTCGTTACTGGGTTTACCATCTAACTCAAAGCCCGGCACCAGCCAGAATCCTTGACCAAGTACTCACATTCCTGAAAGGACACTGCCTTCATTGGTTTGAAGCTATGGGCATTCTGGGGATACTATCTGAAGCCATAATTGCAGTGAATTCATTGCTCCAACTGACTAAAGTAAGTAATAAACTGGCTTGTGGCAGCCGACCGACTAACAGTAGTGGTAAATCTAGGACAAATCCAGTAATGAGATGCATATTTTCCTCTTAGATGCGCGCAGGTTTATCCTAAAATTTGCACAAATTGTTGATACGGCACCACTGCAACTATACAGCTCTGGCCTGATATTTGCACCACATAAAGCGTTGATCAGAGAGATCTTTGAGAAAGAACTTCCTGCTTGGTTATCCAGAGGTCCAAAGGTAGAAGAGTATTGGGATCCTGAGATGCAAACGCTGGAGGGCCATTCTAGGGCGGTACAATCGGTCGCCTTCTCAGGCGATGGCCAGCTGCTGGCATCTGGCTCATTCGACAACACCATCAAGCTGTGGGATGCCGCCACAGGTACTCTCAAGTATACACTGGAGAGCCATTCTGGCTGGGTTTACTCAGTCGCCTTCTCAGGCGACGGCCAGCTGCTGGCATCCGGCTCATTCGACAACACCATCAAGCTGTGGGATACTGCCACGGGTGCTCTTCAGCATACACTAGAAAGCCATTTTAGCTGGGTTTACTCAGTCTCCTTCTCAGGCAACGGCCAGCTGCTGGCATGCGGCTCAGAGGATAACACTGTCAAGGTATGGGATGCTGCCACGGGCGCTCTCAAGCATACACTGGAGGGCCATTCTAGGTCAGTTCGATCGGTCGCCTTCTCAGGTGATGGCCAGCTGCTGGTGTCCGGCTCAGAGGATAACACTGTCAAGCTGTGGGATGCTGCTACGGGTACTCTCAAGCATACACTGGAAGGCCATTTTAGCTGGGTTTACTCAGTTGCCGTCTCAGGCGACGGCCAGCTGCTGGCATCCGGCTCATTCGACAACACCATTAAGCTGTGGGATACTGCCACGGGCGCTCTTAAGCATACACTGGAGTGCCATTTTGGATCAGTTCGTTCAGTCACCTTCTCAGGTAATGGCCAGTTACTGGCATCTGGCTCAGAGGACAACACTATCAAGCTGTGGGATACTGCTACAGGCGCTCTTAAGCATACACTGGAGGGCCATTCCGGCTGGGTTTACTCAGTCGCCTTCTCAGGCGACGGCCAGCTACTGGCATCTGGCTCAGAGGATAACACCGTCAAGGTGTGGGATGCCGCCACGGGCACTCTTAAGCATATACTGGAAGGCCATTTAGGATCAGTCCAATCGGTCGCCTTCTCAGGCGACGGCCAGTTGCTGGCATCCGGCTCGTTCGACAACACCATCAAGCTGTGGGATGCCGCCAAGGGCACTCTCAAGCATAGCATAAGCACTGACCATATTGTCACCAAAATTGACTTTTCGGAGCACCTGCCGCTACTGATTACTAACATAGGATCCTTTGATATCCGAAAATGGTATAAAAGCTTCTTAGTATACTCCGAGAAAGTGTCAGAGGTATCTCTGATGGCAGGCCGGTGGGTTACTATTCAGGGTCAAAGAGAGCTATGGCTACCTCCAAATTATCACCCTCACTCGTCAACGGTCAAAAACAGTACTATTGCACTTGGTAGCACGAGCGGCAGAGTTGCCATGATTGCGTTCTCAGTCATGTGACTGCGCCCTGAAATTTCTTCCCAACTCATAAAGGGCGTTAAGTGCATAAGTAATCAGGTGATGCAATGTAAACGACCAAAGAAATTGTGGAAGCAATATGATGATATTGTTTGTGTGTGTAGACTAACTAGCTAACTACGCGAGGAGGTGACTGGGTGGCTAGGTGACTAGGTCCGAGATCACGTGACCTCATTTCACAAACTCTTTTCCCACTGTACGATGCGTTAATCTCAAATATATATAAACTCATCAGAAGGACTGTTTTAGAATCCATAAAACACACTATCACAAAAGCTAGTGGTATGCAAGTGGCTGTTTGAGTCGCTGTTTGGATTATTCTACTTAGATCATTATTTCTATGACTGAAAGCTCTATCACAAGTAGAATATTTCGTAACTAAAGACTTGGATTCTAACTCAATCATATAGTATGCGGTAAAAGCAGCGGTGGGCATGCTTCACTAGTTTTTCTTATTGCCCGTTAGCCCACTATTGCCTTGGAGCAATGGATCTCGTGCCTAAGGGTCCCATCTCTAGCCTCGGGCTCAATCACCCTGCTTTTGGGCATGCTGCTGGTAACCACACTGCTTCTGTGATTGCGTCTCGTACGTCTACGGTTGTCTCGGCGAAATACACTGATTCTGCGTCCAGGAGTGCAGTATGGCCTTGTTTCCCTCTTGTAGGCGTTGTTATAGGCTGTCCTTCTTGTGATCGATAACAAGGTCGATTTTGTTCTTCAGTTATCAGCTATAACGACCGAAACCAGAAACTTCAACGTGTATAGTCACATTTTAAGAGTAAGCGAGATCTAGGTTGAAAAATATGAGACAGACCAATAGGAAACGGTGGGAAGGGAATGAAGGCAAAATGACAATACGAGTCATTCTAAGCAAGGTTGCATCTCAGCTTATAATTTACTAGACAGGCACGTTCTACTTGAAGAAATAGCGATAGCCCAACGCAGAAGTCAGAAAAAAGCCAACTGCAATCGCGCCGAGACGAGCAGCATTTATGGGCTTGTGCTTTGGTGAACACAGCTCTTCAACAGTGTAGGTGTTTCTCTCGAACGCAAGACGATCTAACCCGTACCTCTTGGACTCTAGATGAAAGGATATGAAGTTCTGTCGAAAAGAAAACCAGCACTTTGCAGCCAGTTGCGCATTGGGATCATCTCGAGCCGTGTATCCATACTCCGATGCATTGTTATCGGCGGGCATGCAACTAGTGACAGCCTTGTCTAAAGCAAAAACTATCTTCTGAACATTCTCAAGTGTTTCGCAGAAGGTGTCTCGGAAAGTCCACAATTTCGAACCAAACCTGGACGATCTGCCGGCTACTCTCCTGGTCCTTGTAGCGAGCAGAAGATAGTTCCGTGTCTCACCTGCAAGGACCTCCTTCGGGTAAGAAAGCAGGTCGTTTGTATATCAATGAAGTTTCTCATGACGGGAGCCAGCGCTATCCAGTAAGGAGAAGGGACCTCCTCAGTGCGAGAATACTTGAATATAGGAGGTATATAGTGAAACGAAATGCCACTCATCGAACGAAGATACCCTGGGAATGCTTCGGCCGCACACCACTCGGAGCTTGGATGTGGCTGTCCATGTGCTGCCAGATGAGCGGGCAAGTTCCCCTGCTCCATGCGGAACTCCATGGTACATGCCTCCGTGAACCCACGAATAGCATTCGCTGAAAGGCTGCCGACCAGGGAGTCTTGGGACCCGAAGTATTCAGCACCCAATTGTAACCCGTGCGTAAGGACCGCTGTCCAAGGGCTGGCATCCGGTAGACTTTGGCCGTCATTACAGGAAAAGGAGGATACGCGATTGCGCTCATCTGGACTGAGGAGAGAGTCGTCATCGCTTGCGAACAGGATGAGAGTAGTGATGGCCATAACTAGCTTTGTCTCATGCGAGCAATGAGCATAGAAGTATTCGCCAACTTGTTCAGAAGTGTGAACTATTGCTTCTAGAGCCTGACGCTTGTCGGGGAATAGGTGTGCCAGATGCTCTTGGACCCAATTATGGAGGTCATAGTGTAGACGTTCGTCGGCTGTTATGGACTGGTGCTGATGTCCTATATCTTCAAGCAAGAGGAACAGATATTTGCGTACACTTTGAAATACCTCTTGCCTCTGTTGATCACCGAGTTCGGTTTCATCGTGAAACTCTAGGCACTCATATTCGGGCCTAGAAAGAGCCGAGAAAAAGTCGATCTTCATGTTGGAGGTTGGAGAATATAACCCACAGAGAGCGGAAGAAGGAGACATGGCGCAATTTATGCAGGCCAGTCCACTGAAGTATGTCGGTCGAGATCGGGGATATCTTTGATCTTCTCCATGTCTTTATGCGTGAATAAGGAGGATGGTGTCGGGTGCTGACTTTGCAGGATTATCAAGGTTAGAGTCAATAGTGAAAATCATCAATTTTGGGCTATGAAGCTTGGTCATCGACTAGTTTGTATACTTGTTTCAGTACCGAGAAGACGTCATAAGCTGAGTTCTCACTATTCCTTGATATTTCATCAATGTGTTTAAATGGCAGGGGCTACCGAAAATCCTTCAAATCCAGCGAGGTACATATCTTGAATAAGGTATAATTGGTAGCTGACATTCAGGCTGGGGTCTGATACGCTGGACATCATTCCTCGTCATGCGGCCTAGAACCGCAAGGAAGCTGTTCAGAATTTCCTAATAGAGCATCGGGCGTATGTCTGTGCAATACGGCAGGTAGAGCAATGAGAAAAGTACGAACCTCAGAGTCTCTATTCATGAAAGTTTTCATCATCTGCTAAGAAAAGTTGTGGCAACCCGACCCGATATCGACTTTTTTGTACCTCGACGACCGATCCAGAATCAGTTGAGTGGGGAAATCATATATCTCATAGCCGGGGAACCGGCTCGAATCGTGATACTAAGCAAGGGAGAAAAGTAGTAACTAGTGATAACGCAAAAGTTAGTCATCAGGACGGATCCTTACCTTATACTATGTCCCACTCAATGAATTGGACGTTACCCTGTGAAGGCCATGGGATCCCATATTGAGTGCAGTTTCCACTAGAACTTGCCACCCGCGCTGATAGAAGGGGGTGGAGAGCCTTATAATAGCATGTCGACAAGAAGAAAAAACTAAGTTGTGTTCAAGCTCGGCTTCTGCCTCGGGGAGCAAATTCTGTGTTACGGTAAAGCATGGCAAGATCCTTGCCATACTATATATAGCGGACCAGATCGAGCCTGGTGCACATACTATTATACATCTATCATATCATACACAAGCCAAACATTCAAACATCCATGATCACGGATCATTAGAAGGTCTTCCGTGTAAAAGCCATATAAGCCTTCCAAGGGAGCTTCCAATCCGACCGGAGAAGTTCAGGCTGGAAGATATCGAAATCATGACTCTCTAGTCTATCCAGCCACAGCCGCGTTCCAACGGCCGGCATAAACACACCATATGCACGATTGACCTCCTGTAGTGGGGTCTCATTCTGGGATTGGAAATCATACTGATGATCCTCTTCATGGCCGTGCTCAAACTCATGCCCTGCATCCTGCCCAGCACGAATATAGCTCAACATCTGCTGCACGGTAATCAGGTGATCGCTGGCCCGAGTGGCAACCGTGAAAACAGCATCCCGTAATCCTGGCGCCTCACTGCCCAGGCGGAACACCTCTTCTTCTTTTACCCCAGCCTGCGCCATTACATCCAATGGCAGCATTACGGCTCCCTGCTTTGCTCCTCCGGCCATTGTCGTACCAGTCTGGTCAGGACGCTGAGTCGATGCGCCCGGGAATGCCACCAGTGGCAAACCACGGAGTACAGCTGTGATACCGGCTGCCTTTCCAATATGCGATGCCACATGGTCCGCCGTTACGGATGTCATGGGCAGTGCTGAGAGTGTCAAGTAGAGCAAGGTCGAATAGGTGCTTTCCGCATAGGATTCGAGGGCAGCGATATCAGGGTACGGGTCGTTGGTAAGAGTCTGCTCGCGGGCATTGATCATTCTATTCAGCCAGCCTTTGCTGATTCGCGCCCGACCTCGCGTTCGTTCTGTGAGGTCTGAGATGGCCGAGGCGAGGAGAATGGCAATAGGTTCTTTTGGGGGGGACCCGGATAGTGTTTTGGCCATTGCATCGCGCCAGAATTGAAGGCGCATAAGCCCGATCGTGTGGGATGAGGTGGTATCAGGGATTAGGGAAAGAGAGACATTAAGAGCTCGAAGAGCGATGTAAAAAGTTTGCGCCGTTCGGGGAATGAAGGTACTGAGGGTATAGGAGGGTCGGTCATATTGTCTGGCATGAACATGGACTGTATTAGATGGGTCGCAAGTTACGATGGGTAATTGAAAAGACTTTACAGAAGAAGATTCGAGCAGTAATTCAGTGCTGCTTGCACTTCAGCTTCACTTGCTCCGGTCACTGGGGCGGCGACAGCGCGAGATTGGCTGAAATGGCGTTCTTGTGATCGCTGCACCCTTTGACGGGAGATGCTGCATCGAAATAGCGATTGCTGGGTTATGCGGCCCGACCGGATGACGTTCTTGGACATAGACATTTTGAATCAAGAACTCTCACTAGTGGCCGGGATAATTATCAGTATGATTAGTATTCCCGCAATGAGCACTGGTTTCTTCCCCAAAGCGGTGGATGCCGGCATTACCTCGCTCGTGTCACGTGCTTGACAGCACCGTGCTGAGACTGGACCGAGTCATTTCGATCTCCAGTGGGATATCGGGCAAATGTAACTGGTTGATGTTTATTGCCAGTGGAGCGATTATACAGTCTGATTGATTCCCCATCTCAAGATCAATGAAAGAAGATAGTATGTTTAACAATAACCAGAGGCCTGGGTCCGTACAAGCGGGCGGGCATCATGTAGAGCATCCTATTTAGGATGCGGTATGCAGAGCGGTGAAAGTACTTCATGCATCACCAACAACTACTACATACATAATATCATAACAATAACTTCCTAGGAAAAAGAAAAGACCACACTTTCGTGTTTCAAGACCACATGGTGCATTCACCTTCAAAACAAATAGGCTACTATGCGTTATCCACCGGACTTATGTGTGCCAGTGACGCAACGGCGGAAAACAATCCTGCTAGTCATGGGACCGTTGTCTCAAGTGGAGATGCCGACGGAAGGAAGGGTCAGTAGTCCGGCCTGGTCTGTTCTGGTGACCGAGTGTCCCCGACCGAGGGATTCACCTCCTATCTATTAGAGTACGTCCAGCAACTCCCCCGCATTTCGCTCTCCTTGCGGCTGGACCATCGATTGCCCCGGCTGAGCTGCGGTGTCGTATAATAACGTGTCTCCGAAGATAAACCTTTGACACAATCTTAAGCTTCCGACTAGATCTCTGCCATGGAACATTCACAGAACTTGGGTTTCGAAACTGCCCGGTAGGTTGTTGCCGCTGTTCCTCGAACGGACCGAGGCTGGCTGGCGGCGAGTCCGGGGCAATTCATAAGCTTACTAGCCTGTACCGCCCCGATTGAATGTGATCTCTTACCGCTAGTAATCATGATACTGTAAAACAAAACATCCATCCATTCACCCTTTGGGTGACGGCGAATAACCTGAGGAGGTAGCCAATACCACTTACCACCGATGTTGCATGTGCATTCATGGCTTCCCTGCTCAAGTGGGTCCGAGCATCTGTCTACTCTATTCTCGCAGAGCTCTCTCAAACACCTCGATGCTTTCCAACTACCAGGTTCACAGCCAATCTGGCATCCACAATCCTTGAGGAAGAGCACTTCAACTCCTACAGGAATGGCCACTACTACCCTATTAACTTCATTGACATCTCCGCTCTCTTAAGAGTCAGGTCATCGGGAAAATAGAATTTGGATCCTCATCTATTGCTTGGCTAGCCCAGAATCTCATCTCCAGTTTGTTCTTCCTGCTTCATACAACCAACCTGCGGACTGTGGCTGAGTGATATGCTGATTTCATCACTATGTGACTCTCAAGGTCTATTCCTGCGATGAATCTCATACCCAGAGAGTCAAAATACATCAGCACATAAGTCAAGCCAATCTATCCCATCCCGGATACGGCTAGGTACGAACAACACTCCATACTTTGGTACTCGACTCATGCGGATCTGGCTGGGGTCATTGGTCTTCGGGGTCATCCGCCGTTGAATCCTTTGTAATGGGGAAAGCGAAGCAACGAGTTCTTGACTGAAAGATATGTTATCCTACTATCTCGAAAACGATTAGCATCAGATTGAATAAACCCTGTAGGATGGTGGAAGCAAGACATCGCCATCCCACATACCGGGGAACTCAAATCGTCCGCTGAATCCCTCGAAGGGAGCAACACAAAGGCTTTCGTACATCTATCTCATGGGAGGGGTAATTCAGTGGCGATCAGAAGATAGAAAGACGGCAACGGAGCTGTTGCGGGATCCGTGGCTGAAGGGAGAGACAATACAGCCTAGAAAATGCTGTCGTAGCCGCAAATCATGCTTGCAGCTGTACAGCTCTAATGGAAATATCAAAACCGTTCGGTACCCCATGGGGCCGGTGCCAGACCCAAAGCATCAACTGTGAAGACTTAAGAGGCATTCTCGTGATGGCTCGAAATTGGGTCAACTCCGTCCCCACCGGCCCAAAGTAAGTTCCTCGGCGATCCGGTTGACCACTTTACCTATATTACCGTCACATACGCGGCATCCCCACCAGTCAGCGGAGCCAACGGGAAAGATCCACCTCAACCATGACAATACGTGACCATCCAGCAGTCGGCTGATCCTGGCTTCCATCCAGCCGAGGTATCTTTCCTTCTCTTGATCTTCAACTCGCTCTCTTATCTCATGTGGCCTTTCTCCCTGCTACTTTTTTAGCTCACGCTCCTCTCCTCTGCTTTCTTCCCTCTGATTACAAGCCATCTCTAACTCTCCTTCTCTTTCTCATCTTCCCCCCATCCCTTCACAACCTCGAGGCATGTTCGCGGCTTCGAGCAGAACCCGTCTCTCCACTCTCCCCCGGACCCGTCTCTCCCCCGCCAACTCGCTCCTCGCCAGATCTGCCGTCGTAAGCCGTTCCCATACCACCAGAATTCGTGAATAATATCGGCTAATTGTGACTTCTACCGCTTAGACACCCATAATGGCACCCCGTCGCAAAGCATCTTCTGTCCCTAAGGGTAAGCAATCACATGCGAATCCGATTCGAGATCCGCTATTGACACGTTGTGATTGGATAGG